ATTGCTCCCGCGCCTCGCTCAGCCAGTGAGCGGGAGCCGGTCTGTATGTGGGATCCGAACCCTCGGGCGGCGCGCGCCGCCGCGCTTCCCAAGCGGCGCACTATCCAGTGCGCCACCGGGCCGGCCCACAACTTTTTAAAAATAAGTTAAATGACAGGAATTCTGTTTCCAGAAAGATCGAATAGATGTACTTTTCCCAATTCCTCCCACTAAGTACAACTAAAAACGCTGGATGTTACATATAAAATAAACATAAGAAGACCCCAAAAACTGGAGAAGAGCAGACTGGCTAGAAACCTCAGAACCCAGTGAACAACATGGTGGTGAGTTCCCTGGGTTTTCTTCTTGTCTCATGTAACCTTAACCTGGAGCTAAAGAAGCCAGTAATCCAGAAACACCAACAGGAGCGAGTAAACAGAAAAACCCCAATAAAATCCTGCTCTTTTTAGCCAAAAGACTAGGAAAGGGACAGCTTAGTGACACAGACAATAATTACTCTATTCCAGCCAAACACTACAGAAGAAACTGTGGCCCCACCCATGCCTGTAAAGAACTAGACTTCTACCCCATCAGGGTGTAACAAATCACCCTGATCCTTCTGATCCCTCCAATGGATTAGTGTCAGAGAAGGCCAGATAGAGAGCCAAAGCTTACGTCCCACCCAGACAATAATAAACCATCACCACCATTCCCATGCACCTTGCAGTATCAGTGGAGACCATGCAGGGAGCAGTAACAAGTCATGCCTATTCTTTCCAGCCAGGGAGGCTTTGGTGGAGGCTTAGTGAGGAGCCACAACTTCTACCCCAGCTGAGCAATTGTGAGGAGCATCCCATGCGTGTCAAGGAAGGCCAACTGGGGAACCTGGACTTCTAACCCACATGGCAGTAAGGAGGTAGCACACCCTCTAATTCAGAAGAAGCCAGCCAAAACAGAAAGTTTAAATAAAATGCACAGTCACACAACATAATACTAAAAATGTCCAGGTTTCAATCAAAAATCACTCATTATACCAAGAACCAGGAAAATCTCAAACTGAATGAAAAAGACAACAGGTGCCATCACCAAGATGACAGATATTAAAATTATCTGGTAAAGATTATAGAAAGTCTTAGCAAAGAAACAGAAGATACAAAGAAGAACCAAATGGAAGTTTTAGAATTGAAAAATAATCAAAATAAAATAAGTCAAATGATATCACACTATGCATTCTTGCTCTTTTCACTTAATACATAATGGAAATCTGTGTCTCCTGTAAACAAATATACAGCATTTTTTAGTAGCTATAGTATTCTACTGTATGATTTAAATATCGTTTATTTAACTAACCCACAATTAATGGACACTAACATTGTTTATAATTTTTCACTATTGTAAACCATGCCTATGTGCATAATTACCTATGCCATTTTTAATATCACTAAAAGTTACAGTGCTATGTGAAAGGGCATGAACATTTTAAATTTTCACCCACAATGTCAAATAAACCTCCAGAAAAGTTGTACCGATTTACATTTCCACTACTAGTGTGTGAGTGTACCTACTTTTTCACTTCCTTGCCAACATTGAGTACTGTCTAAATGGTTTTCCTTTTTTTCTAATGTGAGGGGTGAAAATGGTACGTCATTGTTATTTTACATATACTTCTTTATTATAAAAATGGCAAATATATTTTCATGTGTTTAAAAGACAAAAATAGTTTTTCTTTTAAAAATTACCAATTAAGATCCTTTGTAAATTATCATTGTTTACCTTACTACTTTAAAAGAGCCTTTGGTATTTTAGAGATACAAGCCATTCAACATATGTGGTACAAATATATTTTCTCCTATTTTGTTTTTTAACTTTGCTTTATGTTGTTTTTTTTTTTTTTTGCAGCAGCAGCAGTTTTTAATTGGTTTAGATTTCATTTCAGAAAATCAAATTTAACTAAATCTTAGCCCCACTTAATTGAAGTGCTGAAGATATCAACCTAAAGGTTCAGTCCCAATTACTTTTAGAGCCAAACAATCATAAAATTACCACCCCCACTACTGATAATAGTCTAGAAAAGTCATCCTATTCTAATTAGGGGAAAGAAGTGAATGCTAGCACCCACTAGTTACCTATACATTCAATTAACAACAGCCTTCTCTGTAAACCATATACATCGTTTCACCATGTTGTATGATTGAACTTTTGACTTGAGTTTTTAATAATATTCCATTTCCCCACTGGGATCACAGTCCTATTCTAAACCTCAACCTATTGGCTGGTTACTTGACAGCCTACCATGTAACCCTTTTTTGTCCTGGGGGCTGGACCGTTCCCCCATGGCTTCACTGTTATCTGTAAAGCTACCTCAAAATAACCAAAACACATTGGGCCAGCCCGGTGGCGCACTGGAGAGTGCACCGCTTGGGAGCGTGGCGGCGCTCCCGCCGAGGGTTCAGATCCCATGTGGAGACCGGTTCCCGCTCACTGGCTGAGCGCGGTGCAGGTGCAACACTGAGGGTTGCGATCCTGTTACCGGTCAGTAAAAAAGGCAAAAAGGAAAAAAAATAAATAAACAACCAAAACAATGAAAACTATTAGACTACCATCTGACAGCTCAAATCACTATCAAGATTTTTGTTACCATGCTCTGCCCCTCTTTTGGATACTGACCTAAATTTACTAAGCTACCTTGGGCATCATAATTTGCACTGTTAATCAACTCACTTAAGTAATAGCTCAACTGGAATAGTAAATAAAACAAATGTAATGTATTATTCCTTTTTTTACTGGGCATCTGCTCTCCCTACTTACTTCTTTCCCCCCAACCAGCCATTCACAGCTTCTAGCATTTTCATGGTACAATGCTGCCTGGTTTATAAGTAGGATTAACAATGTGATAAAAAGAATAAGTGCAATCACTGGAATTGTAATTTCTGTGAATGTCACATACATAAAAATCATAAGATAAACAGTTTAAAAGTAATGTTTTAATAACATGAAAAAGAAAATCAAGAGCACATATCTATACATATATATCCTAATGTTATTCCAGTAATTCACAGAATAAAGAATTTGTCTATAATTTCTTTAACCCACGAAATGTTTACCTCTTTTTTCCTTGACTACCATCATATTAATTAAAGACATCTGACATCAATAACCATAACTATAGCATTAATGCTTAGTGCTAGATTTTGTTACTTAATTTTTCATTTTCTTCAGTCTAACATCTTCAAGTCATAAGTAATTTTTTTTTTCCTTTTTGTCTTTTTTACTGACCGGCAACGGGATCGCAACCCTCGGTGTCGCGCCCGCACCACGCTCAACCAGTGAGCGGGAACCAGTCTCCACATGGGATCCGAACCCTCTGTGGGAGCGCCGCTGCGCTCCCAGGCGGCGCACTCTCCAGTGCGCCACCGGGCCGGCCCCATAAGTAATTTTTTAAATCAAATTTTATTCATACTCCAGGATACTTCATACTAAGAAAGAACTTTTTAAATTAGAAATGTCAGACTAATAGCTAGAAAAATAACTATATGCCAACCACAACGTGTATTTTGCAAACACCATACCCTTAGCTAAAAAAAAATACAGTGGAAGTTCATCTTCAAATCCTTAACATACTGGAAACTACAGTCTATTGGAGTACATTTTACAAAGTATTAATGTACTGCCATTCTGGAACAGGAAAAAATTTCTATAAAGGACATAAATAGGATAACTCAATTCTCAACCACAACCAATTCTGCCCCGAGGAGATATTTTTGGTTGTCACACTTGGGGAAGGAAGAGGGCCACAGCCTGCTGGTATCTAACAGGTAGAGGAAGAGATGCTTCTAAAAATGTTATAATGTACATGATAGCCCCACCAAAACAAAGAATTATCTGGCCCACAATGTCTACAGTAACGACATTGAGAAACCTGGGACAACCAATGAAATTAGAAGATGAATTGTACTGTGTCAATCCTAAATTTTCTGAATTTAATAATTTCCCTATGGCTTCATAAAGGAATGACCTTGTTCTTAGTAAATGCATATCAGAGTATTTAGGAATAAAGGAGCACGTTTCAACTTACCCACAAATGATTCAGAAAAAAATAATAATGTAGAGAAAAAGAATTCATGATTAAGCAATGGGACAAAATGCTAACAATTGGAGAATCTGAATAGAGGGCAAACAAAATTTTCTTACTAGTCTTGTAACTTTAAATTATACCAAAATAAAAGGTATTACCATGCCTGGAAATTTCTTTTATCCTTGCACAATTTCTCAGTATATTTGTGCAAAACAGCTTTCTTTTATTCCTTTCTCAAAATATTCCTTTCTGGGGCTGGCCCGGTGGCACACTGCTACAGTGCGCCGCTTGGGAGCATGGCGGCGCTCCCGCCGAGGGTTCGGATCCCACATACAGACCGGTTCCTGCTCACTGGCTGAGCGAGGTGCGGCCGCAACACCGAGGGTTGCGATCCCGTTGCCGGTCCCAGTCCGGGCGCGACACTGAGGGTTGCGATCCGTTGCCAGACACGAAAAAAGACAAAAAGGAAAAAAAAAAAATATTCCTTTCTTGAGTGGATACTTGCATATTTCACCCAGGTAACGCAAGTAAGTTGAAAAGTACAATTTCTAAAATGTGAACCGCGCAAAGCTAGAAACATTTAGATGTCTACCCGGAGATGTGACATTAGTGTATCATAGTAAATGCATGGCCAATTCTCCTGCACTGTATATTTCAGGCTTTCAATCACACTGAAGACGAAAATCATTTATAATCACATAAGATCTGAACACAGAAATGGAAAAGGATGTATAAGAAATAAGACAAAAAGATTTTTAAAAATCAGATTTTCAGAAGTTTAACATTAGTTCTGAATTCCTGAACCTTATCATTTCTATTTCTAGGTACTTATTACTTAAATAGCATTCAACCAATATACAATAAGATCTTCATAAATAGTAACAGTTTACTTTTGGAAAGCAATAATTAAAATTTTTAACTCCTGGAAAAAATTTAGGGTACTTACAGATGTCTGGGACATACTTGACTGTTGTGTGACACTTCCTGTGGGGGATGTAGATGGTCTTCCACTGGACAAACTTGCCTAAAATAATAAGACTATTATAATATGCCTATAAAAACCTGAAGTTGAAAACTTTCTGGTACCAGGATAACAAAACTACAATAAAAGTCGAGAGTTCTACGTATGAAATAACTCATTTTACGGTCAACATGGGTTAAGCTTTCGCCAAACACATTTGAAGAAACAAAGAAAGCAGCAGCTAAATGGTGAAAATAAGGGACCCCAAGGATAATCTTATTTTATTAGCTGCTTTCATTGTTAGTTTCACTCTACAGGCCTCTGTCATCACTGAAGTGAAATCGCCACTCCAACGTTATGAAAAAGAAACAGGAGCTACATCACGAGCCAGTGGGTTTCAGTTTCCTAACTGGTATCATGAACATGATGTTATTCAAAATTACACTACTAAGAAGTAGCAACAGCTGGGGATCTGTTGATAACAGAAATAAACCTTTTTCAGGTTCAGTCAACTGAGATCCTCCTCTGGTGAGGAGAGTTAAGATTAAATCTCACAGTTTTATTTAAATAGACAGTACAATAATAATGGAAATCTTTTTTAAGACATAAGCATTTAATCATAAAATCGTCCTGTTATCAGTAGGAATAATATGATTGGATTTTAGAAAGGTACACATACATATTTTTGTATAGAAAATTTCTGGAGAGATACATATTAAACTTTTACAGTGGCCACCTCTGAAGAGTGGCAAACAGTGATAGGTGTGGAAAAGGAATACCTGTACTTTATTTACCTCTTTTTTAAAAATTTACTTCTTACAGACAATGTAATACTGTTTGATTATTTTTAATGAATATAAATTATTTTCATAATACAAACTTCATTTATAGTTAAAATATAATTCATGTAACCCTAAGTATTCACTGTTGTACCTAGAATTTTATACAAAATCATGCCATTAGCACAGCATTTCTCTAATTTGGATAAAAAGTGGTGAGATAAAAGCTATCCACAGAGTACCATATAAAACACATCCATTTTTTTTTCCTCAATTAACTTTTATTTGGCAGTCTATCAATGTATTTCCTTCAGGAAAAATAATCACAGTACACCTGAGAACTCTGAAATAATGCCCAATGTATTTATTTTCAGTAATTATCTGCACATAATGTAAACTTTGGCCTCATAAATTCTTAATTTACTTCAGTCTCACCTGAACGGCAGCAAGGCTCTGAAGCTGGGAGCTGCTTAAATGCTGCTGCTGAAGAGCTGCAGTATGCAGCATTAAGTGCTGCTGTTGAGCTGCATACATTTGCTGAAGGTACTGAGCAGCTGAGCTCGGGGGGCGATGCAATGCCTGTTGAATTACCTGTGATAAGTTAATTGAACCAATGTCAAAACATAATCTCAACCTTTATCTTAATCATAAAAGTATTAAAAAAGTGGCAGTTTAAAATTTCACTACTTTAATACTCAGTGTCATCAAGCTTATTAACATATAACTCTGCTAGTTACAAATCACTAGGATTCACTAATTTGTACAAATTAAAATTACCCACTAGAGATAATTCACAAAGAAGAAAGGCCAAATAAGCATTTGAAAAGACCTTCAGTCTCACTAGTCAAAAATTTACAAATTAAAACAAGAGGGCTGGCCAGTTAGCTCACTTGGTTAGAGCATGGTGCTGATAACACCAAGGTTAAGGGTTCAGATCCCCATACCCATAGCCAACAACAACAAAAAAGATTCTAATAAAACAAGATAGTATTTTCCAACTTTCACATGGATAAAGATTTAAAAGACTACTACTACTAACTGGGGAAATAAGATACTCCCATACCGCTAGTAAAAATTTAAGTTGGCATAACCGTTTTGCATAAAAGTTGGTAGAATTCAGAGCTTGTGTGTGGAGAGGAATACTTTTACCATGAAGCCATTACAAACGGTAACAGATCAGTGCTGTCTAAAACAGTAGTCACTAGCCACGTGTATCTACTGAGCACTTAAAATGTGGCTAATGCAATTAAGGAATTGAGTTTTTAATTTCAACTGAATTTTAATTTTAACGTAAATAGCCAGATGTAGCTAGTGGCTACTATACTGAACATTACATATATAGATATACATTTATGAACAAAAAATATCCCAAATATATTACTAGGCAAGAAAAGCAAGTACAAAATAGCATATAGAGTAAGACGCAATTTTTGTATTAAAATATTTGAAAGAATATTCTAGAAAACATTCAAAGACAACTGAAGGGGTAGCTAGATTAGAGGCAACTTTAGCTTCTGGTTTGTACTTTTCTATAAATGTCTGAAAATCTTACAATGAGTAGGCATTATATTAATAATCATATAAAATTACAAAGCTATTTCTTTTTTAGAAAATTACTCAATTTTTTAGGGCTGGCCCGGTGGCGCACTCGGTAGAGTGCAGCGCTTGGGAGTGCGGTGGCGCTCCCGCCGAGGGTTCAGATCCCATATAGAGACCGGTCCACTCACTAGTTGAGCGCGGTGCGGGCGCAACACCGAGGGTTGCGATCCCATTACCGGTCACAAAAAAAAGACAAAAAGGAAAGAAAAAAAAGGAAAATTACTCAATTTTTTAGGGCTGGCCCGGTGGCGCACTCGGTAGAGGGCAGCGCTTGGGAGTGCGGTGGCGCTCCCGCCGAGGGTTCAGATCCCATATAGAGACCGGTCCACTCACTAGTTGAGCGCGGTGCGGGCGCAACACCGAGGGTTGCGATCCCATTACCGGTCACAAAAAAAAGACAAAAAGGAAAGAAAAAAAAAGAAAATTACTCAATTTTTAAAAATATTTAAAAATGTTTTTTAAATGTCAGATTCCTTGTTTTAATTGTTTCAACACAGAACAAAACTATTCTTGGTAAAAAAAATTCCTGCAAAAGTGTTACTGTAAATATTTATTGGTAAAATGTAAAATCTGAGCCTGAAACTTCCTAAACAGATAAATGTAGAAAACTCAAGTATTCTAAGACCACAGAAAAATCCTGTATCTGTCCAAAAGGTATGTAAGACATCTGCAACCACATCCCAAAGTCACATCATGCCCGCTGTAACTCTGAAACTGCACAGAACCCTAATCTCAGCATCAAACCACAGAGTTTTCAAAAGCTAAGGGAATAAGGGAGTAATAGAGCCACAATCCTATAGCTTGAGGGGGTAAGTCATCTTGAATCACAAAGCCATGAATCTTTTATCCAAATTTCAAGAAAGCATATTTCCATGTGTTGTTTACCTTCATGTGCTCATATCTCATCTCTCAAACTCTAGACTCCTATTCCTCCTACAAACTCTTGTCACAAAAATCAAAGTCGGCTTTTGACCCCTAGTTGCAGGGGACTGTAGAGCAGCATTAAGTGATTCAGATTTACTTTTTTGGTCAGATAAATCTATACATGTTCTTTTACTTCCATAACAAAATTCTGAAATCAAACTGAATTAACAAATAAATAATCTATTTGACACGTTTGTCAGAGTGTAGTAATTTTTTCTGTTGTCAGCACTGTCTTTCATTACCATTCAATGCTATACTCATAGCACTGAGTAAGTGCAAGTTAAAGATACAGCACGCCGCTTGTATTTTTATCCTTTTACAGGAACAAAAGGTAAAGAGAATTCACAGGACTGAAAACGAAAGCTGAAAGATTAAAGGACTGCTTAGGTAGTTCAATAAATACAGACTTGATTACATTTTAACAGTAGCAATTCTACGATAAGAACTAGAGTTAGTTCTATTTGTGAGATATATCTACATTTACAAATCTCCAGTAACACTTTATTTTTTATTAATACATCCAGCTTACGTGAAAACTAGTGAACAAAACGTCATATTAAAATATCACATCATCTGTATGCTCAAAGATCTAGGTACTTCTCTCTCTGTCTCTTGCCTCAGAGAAAGGTGAACAACACTAAAAGCATCCTGCATTCCAGTCTGAATTTCTGCTGAACTGGCTGGGCCTCCACCAGTTGATTCCTCTCCACAGTGACATCAAAAAACCAAATCCTAAACCACAGAACAGTTAAATAGCCATTATACTGGTATATCCACCACAGAAAAATGGAGCAGAGGGAGGACTATATCACAGTTGTTTTCAGGGTAGAATGCAATTACAAGGATTCTAGAGAAAGAAAGCAGGTATAAGAAAAAAATCAGAACTCACAGTATGGTTAAGGGCACAAACTCTGAAGTCAGAGAATCTACTAGCTATGTGCTTTAAGAAAAGTTATTTAGTCTATTTAAAACATTGGTTTTCCAGGGGCAGGCCTGTGGCTCACTCGGGAGAGTGTGGTGCTGATAACACCAAGGCCATGGGTTCGGATCCCATATAGGGATGGCCGGTTTGCTCACTGGCTGAGCGTGGTGCTGAAAACACCAAGTCAAGGGTTAAGATCCCCTTACCGGTCATCTTTTGAAAAAAAACAAAAAACAAAAAAAAAAACATTGGTTTTCCATCCATAAAATGGCAATAATAACAGTATCTACTTTATTGAAGTGCGGTGAGAGTTAAACAAGATAATCCATGTAAAGCATTTCTTAAATGCTTGGGACATAACAATTGTTCAATAGATATTAGCTATTATTATTTATTGGGTACACATGTGCCCACACAGTTCTAGATGCTTCATTTAATCCTCATATAACTAATGAAGCAGGTAGTCTCGTACTCATTTTACAGCTTCCTGAGACTCAAGGAGATTATGTCTCTTACCCAAGGCTATATAGCTACTAATGATAATGGAAATCAAAGGTCATATCAGACTGCAATGCCCATGACCTTTTTATACAATACCATATTGCTTCAACCTTCATTATTATAAAGGTTAACTAAGCAAACTTTACTTTCTCTACTAAGTGACTGAGCTTCAGATTCTCCCTAGCTAAATATTCCCTTCTCCCTTTGCCTCTAAGAGCTTTAGAATGGATCCTGCTGCCTAGGGTTCTTAAGCCACCTGGGTTTAAAATGAACCTCTTAACATATCTACAGACCAGAACAGATCTCCCTAAGTCTATATTTTGGATTCAAACAAAAAATAGCCCAGGAAAAACCTAGAGCTATTCTGCATGTAACGGCTCTAACTTCAGTGTCTTCACATTGTAACAGTTCCTAGAGACCTTCCAATTATAATTTTCCTGACACACAGTCTTATCATCTACATGCTGACAAATGTAAGCCCTGTCAACAGTGTGATTATTAAATAACTTTGTTGGCTGTTTCACATATTAATTCTAACTGTACATTTGAGGATGTGAAACAATACATGCATCTGTCTTAAGCAAAAAGTAATACATCCTAAGTCTTAGCCTACTCATCATTATAGCTGAAATACCTGTACAGCATGTCGGTCTGAACCGCTGTAGACAGAAATCTGTGGTTGCTGCATTCGAGAGGAGGAAGTAGTGATGGTGGTGGTTGTGGTGCTATTGGTTGTTGTCGACACAGAAGATGTTCCAGGGTTTGGTTCACTATCCATAGCTGTACTGTGGTCCTTAAATCTGGCAGGTAACACAAAGGGTTTCTATTGGTAAAATTATTATCTTATGAACTTTAAAGAATATTCATTCCAAAGAAATAATAAACAATAGTCTAAATTCCTAGGAAGATCCTAATAAAATACAGCTAGCACATAGTCACACCATAAACACTTACAAGGGAAAAATGCTTCACATATATTAAGCATATTTAATAGTTAATACCTACCAAATTTGAATTCAAATGATTCAGGATACGTAACTCAGATAAAGCCTGGCCTAAAGTTTATCTTTACATTACTGAGAGATGATGAGGGTTTGAAACTATAATAGATGATGAGAAAATACTAACTTACGTGGGAAAATCAATTTAAGCAATATCAGAGTACTTTAAAACATTCCTTTACATTCTTTTGACCATACAAATTACAAATTAAATCATTCTTATCTATACATTAAAACAGAATGCCTAAGGACTTATGTTAACTTAGTTTTGGTTACCATATATACTTCACTTAAAAAACACATTCTCTTAAAAATAAGTTAACTTATAAAAAAATAATTTTAACTCACACTGGCTTTTCCCCTAATTAGTCTACAGCATTGTCCATATTACTTCTAATAACTGAGTGTTACTTATATGCAGGTTACTAAGGAAATAGAGAAGCAGCTGACAGCAACTTCCCATATCCCCACAAAATCTCTTTTTCACAAAGAATCGCTCCAAATTTTGAAAACAGCATCATTATGTCACTTTCCTCACATGTGGACAGTAAAGTACATTTTTGTGCCACGCTGTCTCATCTCTTCCCTCCAATATTACAATCTTTCTTCACTTGTGTTATGGTACAAAATTCCACTAAATACAGAAACCGTATTTAAATAAATTCATACACTTAAGTCAATTCTAAGGGCCTCGATTTTTTTGTTTGTTTTTGTTTTCGCAGCTGGCAGGTATGGGGATCCAAACCCATGATCTTGGTGTTATAAGCACGGTGCTCTAACCAATTGACCTAACTGGCCCGCCCTAAGGGCCTTAATATTGTTAAAAGCTAAACCTACAATAGTTCTTGTAGGGTCAGAAATGCACAATGATGGTAAAAAGCACACTTCACATTATACTGGTTTTCTTTGCCTTTTCTTACCTGTCTTTTCTTCTGAAAAACAAAATCTGACCCACCTCACATTAGCAGCATTGACAGGAATGTAAAAAGAACACTTTTTATTTCACGAAAAAACAAAGGAATTTGGCACTAATTATGTACACAAACATTCTTCCCACAGGGTTCGTTTTATGTAAAAATTTTCTTTGTTCTTTGCATCATGTATGTAAACAGTATTTATATGCTCTAAGAAGCCAAATGTAAAAAAATCTCCATTTAATAAAAGGAAACGTGAAAGGAAAAACGGGGCGGGGAGGTGAACCCTCACTAACTTTTTTTGATTAGTAAATGACTCATACATCTTTATGCTTCTCTGGTATTTTTTTCCTCCAACTGCCTTCCAATCATCAAATCACAGCATTTTATGATATTGCTCAACATCACAAAGAATTAGTGGTAGATAAGGTAAACGTTTTACCATACAACTGCCTGTCATAATGCTCCTCAATCATGTACCAGTTATATGCAAAAGTCCAGCTTAAATTCTGGTCCTTTTAAAATGTTATTCTGCTCAACCATGCCCTCAAAACCAAACATTATGGTAAGCAGTTCTAACTACTAACCAAACACGGTCACACAGAACCCAAATTCTAGGCATAAGTCTAAATATCGGTGAGTGGCACTGGCCAAACCATCGCATTACATTTCGAGGTCTGGCACAAAAGAACAATTTTGGTAATAACTCCGCCGCCTATGCATATTAATACCTACAAAATACATCCTGCAGCTGGTGCACAAGAGGCCTACCCAGGAAACAGTAAGTTTGAGAGTCGCTAGCTAGGCATACCATCACACCGCCACACAAGAATGTGGCCCTCCAGGGAGGGATCAACACTGCAGCCTAAGACCGGAGGGAAAGATCTTTTCCTTCCAGGGTGTTTTCAGCCTCACCAGACCCGCAGCAGCCCCCGCCGCACCAAGGCCCGCGCCGGGACACCTCCTCCACGCCTTCCGCGGGAGGGCGGCGCCGGCCCCACGTCTCCGGCTCTCTGGCTCTCCGAGGAGGAGCGGGGAGGCGCCGCGGCAGGCGGGAGGGGAGCGCGGAGGCCTGGCAGCGCCCGCCCTGCCCTACGCAGCCTCCACGGGCCCCCCGCGCGGTGTAGCCCTAACAAGACTGCTCGCGGGGCCCACTTGCAGGGATGACACCGCCTGAAAAGCCCACCGGGACTCGTTTCCCAGAGGACCCCAGGGGTTGGGGTCCCGGGGGTGACCCTGCGTGCAGGGCCCCGCCAATCCCGGACCAGACGGCGGAAGGGGCGCTCCCGCCTGCTGGGTAAGTGAACCCTTACAGTTCGCCTCGGTCCCCCAACACGGACCAAGCCGGCTCCTCCACAGTAAGGCGGCTCTCGAGTCTCTCTTTCCCCGCCATGCCCACGGAAGAGCCCTGAGCTCTCCCCCTGAGGGACATGTCGCTGCTCCCACTCGCCCCCCGGTTACGACATCAGTCACCAGCAAGTCACTCACTCCGCTTCCGCCATCTTCTCTCCTCCATCACTAACACGGGCTGCGCATGCGCCCCCCGGCGGCGGACGGAGGGGCGGGGTCGAGTCAACCCCGGGGGCCGTGAGGTCACGTGGGGTCCTCAGCTTCCAATCCCCCTTCTACCTTAGGCAGTGCTGTCTGCGGAGGTGACCAGGTTTCCCCAACTTAGAAGCCAACGTCTCATTTCTACCCTGTCGTCTCTTGTGCAGGATCTTCTTCCTCGTGGGAAGAGGTCTGTAACAAAGATATAGAAAGTTCTGCTTAGACTGTTAAATTAAAATTTTGAAGAACACCGAGCATATACCAAAGCCTATACAAAATGCCAAGAGTGGTTTGACAGAAAATACCCACGAGGATTGGATGCTGAGGTCTCAGAAGGCAAAGACATGCTGTGCTGGCTGCAAGGCTTGTTGCCTGGGACGCACTGAAGTTTGGGGATCTGAACCAGCATTCCCTCTCTCCAGCTCAAAGGTATTTTGAGCTACCGGTGAGGTATGCGGTTAAGAAATCATCCTGATTACCCTAACTAAGCATATTACGTCTTCGAGCTGAATTTACTGAGCGCTTAGTAGGGATTGCAAACTTGAATACCGCAGGAAACAAGCAGGAACGGCCACCAGTTTGCTAGTGTGTTTTACTATATGCCAACTACTCCAAGGCGGGATGAGACAAACATATAAAGATAAGTAAAACAATAAATATTAAATATAAATTTAAATATAAAATAATAAAGACGAGTCCCTGCCTTCCAAAAAGTCTTAATGTGGAGAGTGAAGTGCGTTTTATAGATATTTGCATGCAGAACAGTAAGTGTTCTGAAACAGATCCATTAAGCCTTTAGAAACCTAAGTTCAAGGAATAATAAATCTTTACTACCCTTCCTAGAAAAAAGCATACTGGCCATAAGGGATGTCTCTTGCATTTCATAAGATAGTGGAGTCACACAAATTTCAAGAAATGAGAAATGAAGTCTTAATTAATACTTTTTAATACAAATCCATCTTAAAGTGTAATGTGGTCTTGTGGAAAGTATATTTAATCTTAGAAATCTTGTGTTCCAGGATGTGCCTAAGGAAGGGAAAAGAACACTTCCTTTGTGAACTTAAATTATCCCTTTACCTCTTTTTCTCATCTGATAACATTATTTTTTACCTTATCTTTCTGATAGCAATGCATTTTCTACCACTATTCTTAGAACTCATTTAGAAAGTTTCCTTTGAAAAGTCCCTGTAGATGCTTAAAAATAAGATTTTATTAATTTTTCTTTCTTTCTGACTTGCACATGTGATGTCATTGCCATCCAACTCTCAAGAATTAACTGTTCATTGGTATTGCTGAAACGATTTTGCTTAAAAAAAATGAAAGTGAAGAAAGCAGTCTTAGCCCTAAGGATGAAAAATGCATAATTCAAAGGAGAGTTTGGAATAAATATGCCAGAGTTGGTTTTTTTCATCCCTCTTTCCCTTGACATTCTATGACCTATATCCCTATTGTCACTTCGTGCAGATTGGCTTTAAAAATGAGCACATATGTTAAGTTAAATCAGATCAGTATTGCTTTTTAGAAACATTTCAAAATTCAATATTTATTATAAAAACAGCTAACCCTCGTATAGGCTTTAAGTGCAAAGGATTTCCACAAAAGTCAATTGTTGATCCTCACAACAACTCTGTGATATACTTATCATTCCCGTTTAGCACAGAAGTAGAGTGAGGCTCAAGGTAATTGAATGCCTGTGGTGACTGCTAGCATGTACCAGAAGAGGGGTTCTAGTTTAAGCTTTCTGTCTCCAGAACCAAGTTTTCTTCACTGCATCATTCAGCAAGCCACTGTGTAAAACTTTAGAGGAGAGACAAAGTATGATAAAGAACTATTCTCAAGAAATGTACCATCACTTATCAAACAGAGGAAAGTGTCTTACCTCTTTGTAATTTCCTAAGGAAAGGATTTATATGGCATGCTAGCATGTTGAACTTTCCAAAGTTTGAAAGAACCATTTTTGGAAAAGTGCTAGGAACCTATTTGGTTTTAGAAAAATTCGTCTAGCTTTGTGAAGGATGCATTGGAGTAAAATGAGACTGGAGACAGGGAAACTAGTTGGGAAACTGTGCATTACTCCCTAGAGAAAAAGATAAAGGCTACAAGAACGGAAGGGAGGGCTAAATCAGAATTTTAGTTCCTTAGTCACATTTCAAGTGCTCAATAGATGCATATGGCTAGTGGCTACTGTATTGGACAGTGCAGATGTAGAACATTTCCATCATCACAGAAAGTTCTATCAAATAGCACCAGTAGGGACTGTAGATCAGGGGCTGGCAAATGACAGTCTACAGACCAAATCTAGCCTGCAACCTGTTTTTGTACAGCTCACAAGCTAAGAATGGTTTTTATATTTTCTAATGATTGAAAAAAAATCAAAAGAATAATATTTTGTGACATGTGAAACTTATGTGAAATTCAGATTTCAGTGTACATAAAGTCTTATTGGAATAAAGTCATAAAGGAGTGAGTCTATGCTCATTCCTTTATGTATTGTTCATGTTTTGTGCTACAAGAGCAGAGATGAGTAGTTGTGACAAACACTGTGATGGCCCGCAAAGTCTAATGCATTTAGTCTGGCCCTTAACAAAAAAAAGTTTGCTGACCCATATTCCTGATCACTGATCACCCTGCCCTGGGCCCTTTCAGAGTAATTAGTACAGCACACACTGTCCTACATCCCAACTAAACTGTGATCACTCTCATAGGATCTTATGTGATGAGATAAAAAGGACGGCAAACCAGATTTGAACGCTGGACTCACTGCTTTACCAAATGAGCCACCTTGGGCAAGCGATTTTGCTGCTTCAAGTTGTAAAAATTTTTTTTTTCTTTTCTTTTTTTTTGTGGCTGGCCACAGAGATTAAACTCTCGACCTTGGTGTTACTAGCACCATGCTGTAACCAAATGAGCTAACTGGTCAGCCTCAAGTTGTATTTTATGATGTGAAAAAAGGGGGACAATCATACCTTCCAAGATTGTTGTAAAGTCTAAAAGAAAAAGACAAATGTAATGTCTTAAAAAGTCCTCTTTTTCTTTTTTAAGTTTTTATCAAGATCCTCCTTCATCTAGATTTGCTCAATAAATGTTATGGAATATGGCTAATACTCAGTAGGCTTTAGGTGCGTGTTGAGAGAATAAATACTTGAATATTTAGGTTAATGAGACATAAAATTTCAGTATATCCCATAAATTGGAATGACATAATATATAGACTTGCATTCTCTTTTCCTTGAAAGTAATATTGCTAAAATCAAATACTTTTACTAAACCAAATAGTGTCGAAACTGAAAGCATGACCTCTAGTGCTGCCACCTGACCTACTCTTGCAAGGATCGGTATGTTAATCATATGCTTATCAGTCTTATCTTCCCTTGTATTCCTGTGGGCCAGCACTGTATATAGTCTGCTTATCTCTGCAGGTGCTAAGTAGTGGAAACACAGAGAGTTAAAGCTTGAAGGGACCTTAGAATTCATGTAACCCACGCTGAGGAAGAATTCATGGAAAAAGTAGAATTTGAACTCTGATCTCCTATCCCCCCAGCAGCCCAGATTTTTGCTGTGTGCCACAAGGTCTTACTACAAACGTGTAGGTACTCAATAAACTCTGGAAAATGCTGTGTACTCTAATTTCCATTCTGCTATCATGCTTAGTGTTTGCTTAGCATTGCAGCAGCCTAGAAGAGTTGTTATAAGCAGGGCTTTAGAATCAGACAAACAGAGACTTGAATCCTGGCTCTCCCACTCACTAGCTCTGAGACCTCTTACAATCCTGTCAGATCTACCTTCAAAATATAACCTCATCTCTGGCCACACCACCATAAACATGCTTGTCATCATCAAAATGCAAATCAAACCTGACACTTTTCACCACCTCCACCGTTACCAGCGTAGGCCAAGTCTCCATTATCTCTCTCCTGGGCCACAGCAATAGGCACCTGACAAGTCACCCTGCTTTTGCGCTTATTCCTCTACAGTCTATATTCTCCATGCAGCATCCTAAGTAAGAATTGTAAACCACATGTTGTCACTGTCCTGCTCAAATTCTCTAGTGGTTTCCCATCACACTTAGCACAGCGCCCTGATTTTTACCACGGGACTATGAGGCACTGTGTAATTTTCCCTTGCACGGTCTGCTCCAGCCACACTGGCCTCCTTAGCACTTGCTACTTCCCCAGCCAGGAATGCCTTTCACACTGATCTCATTTCCTCCCTGCATCCAGACCTCTGTTCAAACATCTCCCCAGAGAGCACTCCCTGACCACCTGGCGTAGTATGGCTCACTCATCCCTTTCTTTCCCTTATCCCACTGATTTTTCTTCATAGCACTTCAGTGCAACACACACTATGTCATATACATTTGATTTTGTTTATTTACTATTTCCACCAGCCTTCAGGTTGTAAGCTCCACGTTTTGTCCACTGCTATATTCGTAATTATTGAAACATTAAGTGCTCAATAAGTATGCAATAATGAAGTTACTTAGCCTTTCTAATCCCCAGTTTCCTAATCTGAAAAATGGAAATAACTTTTACCACAAAGTTATTATGGAAATTAAATAAAAAATGAAATAATGTATATTTTTAAATAATAAGCATAGCTGTTATTATTGTTCACTGTTTTGTTATTTTGCCACGTATTATTATGCTGAAGTAAAGGAAACTAATCTTCCTATTCTATTTCCAAAGGGTATGCATTTTTTAAAAAATTATGAGACCGTCCCTACTTTTGAAAGTTAATTAGCATTATACATATTTTTAGTTTGCATATGCTGTATTTAAAAATATTTGGCTTCAGTATCTAAGAATAGATTTTTGCTTATATTCTCCTAATGTATTAAAATAAACATTTTATATCAGTTTCATATCAAATCTTAATTGTAATGTCCATCAGTTGATGAATATACAAAATGTGGTATATCCATACAATGGAATAGTATTTGGCTATAAAAAGCAATTGCTGTGGGTTAAATGTATCCCC